GGCTGACGGGCGGAGCCCGCCCGCCCGTTTGAGAACTCTGCTGCCTACCCGCCAAGCGCTCGGCCCACGGCTGTCCCGGCCGGCTGCAGCTGCAGGTGTGCGGAGCCTGGAGTCGGTCAACAGGGGCCGGCTGCATCATGGCGAGGGACAGCCACTCACAGCACCTCCTCCCCGGATGCTCCAAAGGCCAGGCGGGGCCGCCCCATCTATGTGGTCTCCGCTCGGGCTGACAGGTGTATTAGCGGATGCATCTAGGCGACCAAGCAATGTATTTAAAATATATGTACACCTTTTATTTTTGCGAATCACAGAGTTGGCCGTAAATATTACTCGGAAAAAGTAATTTCTACAATGAGCATTTATTTAAGATCATTCGTACGTACATTTCGCGACTGTTTGGACAGGAAGGGTACACGTTTGCTCGCTATTACAGGCACAACCGCGTTACAGAAGCAGGTTAAAAGTACACTTCAGGCAATTTTCCTAGAATGGAGAATTGTGGCACATTTCACAGACCACTTGGACGTGAGGCAAGGAGATTCCGATTGTCCGACACTGCAGCAGGCAGCCCGCGACATGGCCAGAGCAAGGGTCGTCTGCTGGACGTTCAAGGACGAGCCGAAGCAGCGCGTGAAGACTGCACGCCGCCAGCTCCTCGCCGAGATCGGGGAAGTAGAATGCTTCATCCAAATAGTCCTTCCTGACGCTACAGACTATGTGGAGCTCCTGCACTGATGAGGCGTAGGCGCGGATCAGCGACATCATGATGTTCTTGCGGTCTACACAGAAGCCCAAGCTAAGCCACCGCAGGGCCCCGTGCTGCGAGGGAATGAAGTTCATATCCGGACAGAAGCAATTGTTTATCCGCAGGCTGCGCAGTCGGGCCATCCGAACCACACACCGCAACTGATTTTCTCCAGGCAAACGAATCGTAAGCTCCTCGAGCTGCAAGGGGAGGTCCGGGTAGTCCAATTCATCAACACATTTTACTTCCAGTCTTTTGAGAGACTTCATTTTCTCCACCTCCACCATCACGCTCGGCTGCACCTCGTCCTCGATCTGCAGCTCCTCCAGGTGTGGCGCAACAACGCTCAACAGTTCCTCCAGGCCTTTACCATAAAAGCTCTTCAGGCTGCGTGCGTACCTCCATCTTTCCCTATCTAGGAGGACTTCATTAGCTTTTAACTGGCCATCTTTGAAATCATCTTCTTCTGTCTCTAGAACAGAGATGATTGGCGGCCCCAGGTAACCGCCAGGGGTGTCAGGAATTGTGGCGACAGCAATCTGACGGGAAGAAAAAAAACGGTGTGAGCACCAAACCGAGGAAATCCACATCTATTCCGTTTGCCTGGTGGCCTACCTTCTCCAGCTGATCGTCCGCCCGCAGCTGCAGCAACAGAAGCCTCAGGATGTCGCCGAACCCTCCGAGCTCCGCGCAGGCCCTCCAGGTGGCGCCGTCCTCCTCCTCCGCCACCACGCTGCACTTTTTGGCGTGAGCAGGCGCAGGCTGTCCTCCAGCTGCACCGCCAGCTGCAGCTGCTCCGCCACCGGGGCGCTGCCCTCACCGCCCGCCGCCCCCCGCTGCACCTGCCTCTCCAGGGCCTCCTCCACCTGGCGGAGCTGGGCGACCGACGAGTCCAGCTGGCGGTTGAGGGCCTCCACGGCCTTGGGCACCACCAGCCGCAGCACCTCCACCACCTTCCGCCCTGCCTCCACGCCCCGCCGCAGCTGCTGGACCTCTGTCTCCTCTGTCCTGGGCTTCTTGCGGGTAGGCGCGCCGTCGTTTTCTATCAGGCCGATCAGTGCAATGTTGTCGGGGAGGTCAGCACGGTCGGCGTTCAGGTCCTGTAAACATACAGTATGTCTAAAAAGTTTTCATTCAGAAATTTCTTATTTATTCAAACTATGTAGTAAAATGAGAGTGGTGTTTAATCGTTTATATTGAGATCATTTATTGTGAGTTTAAATGTTTAATATTGTGTAACTATCAAACAGTGTCGTCCTTCCTATTAAAGTTAAGTTTAAAACTAACTGGTAAGTAATATTTTGCTCATTGGGGATTCCCGTACCAAAGATTCACAAAATTACATGTTTATTGAAATAAGTTCTTTGAAAGGAGACTTCTCCATAACAATAATCTTTCAACTTCTTCTTTGCATTTAGCAAAGATAAAAACATATTACATTGAACCATGCATGCATACAAAAGTAAAGAACAGGTCCAATTGTCTAAATAAGCAGTGAGATTCCAGCAACTTAACAGTTTATGTACTCACCTTCCTGCAAGTTGGACACTTTCCTCCCAAGGCAGGATTCTGCACGCACTCTTGACAGATGGTGTGTCCACAGGGCAAGCTCTTTGGACGGTGGCGGCCCAGGTCAAACAGGTAAAAACATATGTCACACTGTAGTTCCATCACTGAAATAAAGGAGAAGAATTTGCACTCTTTGAGAAAATATGTTCCATACCTTTACAAAACCACAATCCTATGAGTTTCGCATGGATGGAATTTTAGAGTATGTAATGACAATTCATTGTTAGTAGCTCCAACAGTCAGAACATATTAAAGCGATTTCAAATAGCAAAGCTAGACAGAATTAAGGAATTAAGTATCCAAAACCATGTACCTGTTCCGTTGCTATGAACCAGATCTTAACTTTTCACAATGTAGTTGTCTGGCAGGTGGCCAGAACGAGCAGAGTGAACACTTCTACGACAGGTGAAACAAATCTTCCCAGGAGCAAGTACAGGGACAGGGGAAAACACTGCACCCTCTCCCTGAGACTCAGAACGCAGCACAACGCTCTAAAATCGGGTGAAAATTCAGAGAACACGCTAGGTTATGGCCACTTTCCACAACACGCCGACTGTCGGCTGCTTGCTCACTTGCTGCTTTGTTTCATTGGCCGGCAGGGCCGCGCAAGACACAAGGCGGCGGGCGCGGCGCGCGTAAAGACGAACGCGGTGAGCTGCTGTGCCGGCCCACAGCTGAGGTAACAAAATCAAGCAAACTGCATTGAAACTGCATTCCGTGTCCCGTCTTGAAAGCGCTTTTTAGGCGCGTTGTAGACGGGACATAAATGTAGTATTATTGCAGTTCTGCTACCTGCGCGCCGCTGAGCCCAACGAGAGTCCGGTCACGCTGCTCAAGGTGCCGACCATATCACGACTCTGCTGGCGGTGGCCTACAAGTCCATTCACCTGCCGTGAAGGCTGGTGCCATCAAACAGGATTATCGCGGTTTACTTCGGCCATGCTTCAGCGCATGCGGATGTGTGTGGGCGGGCTGCCCACTCGGCAAAAGTCGCATGGTGGGAGACGATGTGCAAACCCGCATTGGGTAGAAAATTGTGGAAAGGTGAATCTTAGCGCCAGCTGGCTGTACCATAGGCCGGCCGCCCGGCAGCGGATGCGGCGGGCGTGCCTACCTAGCAGGCGCGTTATTGATGGGCAGAGGAGAGACGGATGCTCATTGCTTTGAACGGTTATTTTCGTGACATCTGAATTAGTACATACAGCATAGCTGTACCCGAGATATGTCTTTTTTTGGGGGACTCTACGAGCGACTGCTTCGGCCCGGGGCCGGCCGGCTGGCTGGGCCGGCCCGCCACACCTCGCCGCCAGCCGGTTGCCTACCCACCAGGCGCTCGGCCGGCAGCTGTCGCAGCGGGCCGCAGCTGCAGGTGTGCAGAGCCTGGAGTCGGTCTACAGGGGCGATCTGCACCATGGCGAAGGACGGTATACCTCACAGCACCTCCACCTCGAATGCTCCAACGCCCAGGCCGCCCGGCCTCGAGTGCCTTCCGCTCGGGCCGACCGATAAATAACGACTGCTTGTTGGCGATCAGGCTATGTATTGAGAAGAAATGTACACGTCAACAGTGGCATTGCCCATTATATTTACACAAAGCACAAATTAACTTAACAGCATTGGCAAAAACTTTTCAAAATAAGCATTAAATTTATACAAATTACATATACATGGCAGTGTACTGCAGGCTCGCCCTTGCAACCGCTAGCCTACCATGTAGACCACGTTATAGAAACAGATGACAATTACACTTTAGGCACTCTCCCTTAGAAGGCAGGCTTGTGGCACATTTGACAGACCACTTGCACGTGAGGGGGCAAGGAGTTTCCGATGGTCCGACACTGCAGCAGGCAGCCCGCGAGCTGCTTTGTGCATGGGTCTCTTGGTGGGCGTACAAGGACGAGCCGCCGCAGGGCGTGAAGACCGCACGCCCCCAGCTCCTCGCCGAGATCGGAGAAGTAGAATGCTTTATGATGATAATCCACACTGACGGTGCAGTATATGTGGAGCTCCTGCACAGATGAGGCGTAGGCGCGGATCAGCGACATCATGGTGTTTTTGCGCTTTGCATTGAAGCCAACTTCAAGCCACCGCAGGGCCCCATGCTGGGAGGGAGCGAAGTTCATTTCCGGACCAAGGTAATCAATCACACGCAGGCTGCGCAGATGGGCCATCCGCTCCACACACCGCAACTGGTTTTCTCTTGGAAGCCGTATCGAGAGCTCCTCGAGCTGCAAGGGAAGGTCCGGGTAGTCCAAGTCATCACCGCATCTTACTTCCAGTCTTACTTCCAGTCTTTTGAGGGACTTCATTTTATCCACTTCCAACATCACGCTCGGCTGCACATCGACATTGATCACCAGCTCCTCCAGTTGCGGAGCGACGACGCGCAGCAGCCCCTCCAGGCCATCAGCGCCGTGTGACATCTTAAGGCTGCGTGTGTGCCGCCATCGTTGTCTGTCTTGAAGAATGTCATTAATCTTTAGGCGGCCATCTTTAAAATCATCTTCAGTTGTCTCCAGTACAGAGATGATTGGCGGTCCCACGTAAACTCCAGGTTGGTCAGAACAAGCGGCGACGTCGACCTGGCCAAGAGAGAGCAGGTATTAGGAAAAGACCCAACACACTGAGGGGATCAATATCTGGTCCGTCTGCCTGGTGGCCTACCTTCTCCAGCTGGCCGTCCGCCCGCAGCTGCAGCAGCTGAAGCCTCAGGATGTCGCCGAACCCTCCCAGCTGCGCGCAGGCCCTCCAGGTGGCGCCGCCCTCCTCCTCCGCCACCACGCTGCACTTCTTGGCCGTGAGCAGGCGCAGGCTGTCCTCCAGCTGCACCGCCAGCTGCAGCTGCTCCGCCACCGGGGCGCTGCCCTCACCGCCCGCCGCCCCCCGCTGCACCTGCCTCTCCA